CAAACTCATGAAACAAATGCATCAATATCCAGTGGAAATCCCAGAAACAAACGCATCAATATACAGCTGAAACTCCAGAAACAAATGCATCAATATACAGCTGAAACTCCAGAAACAAACGCATCAACATCCAGTTGAAACTCCAGAAACAAACCATCAATATACAGTTGAAACTCCAGAAACAAACGCATAAATATACAGTAAAATATAACTTCTTGAATTTAGCAAAAAGAAAAAAAATAACAATAATAAAAATCTACCCAAGTAAGAATAAATACATTTTTTATAAACTACAAGAGCTGACTTAACAAGAAAAATATTTGTGTACATCACAGTATTTGCAAGCAGATGTATTATATCAATTTCAGCCTCTATGCTAGATTGTTTTTGAATACGAGACAGCCCTTCCACATTGATCTTCACAATTTTAATTTTGTAAAAAAAAAAAAAAAACATCCTTTACTAAACTCTTGAACTGACTCACGTGCTTACATAATGAATACATATCTGTTTTTATGAAATCAATCTATTAGAAACTTGGTTATCATCCATCGGATTAAAAAAAGCTAATTTATATTATTTTCTGTTTTTGTGAACATTTCCAGGAAAAAAGTAACATTTTATAGTTTATTCAAAACTGAGATTTTGAAATGACAATTTTGAAATTCTTTTAATTTAGTGTGTGGCTAAAAAAATTAAATTATGAAGAGAGGCTTAAACATTTGTTGTTGTTTTCTGGAAGAGTCTCACCAATTAGTAACAAGTCAATTTATTTTAGCAAATAATCAGAAACATAAAAGACTAGTGACTTTAAAATAATGTATATAGAAAATATTGAAATATTTAGAGACATGGAACTATGACAGAACACAGTACAGATGTTATATTCAGATCTTATCATATACTGTCAAGAAACATCAATAAAAAAAACTGTCTATTGGTCCATTATTATTATCATATTAAAACTAAATACATGTTTTCTGTATGCCAATGCTCAAATAGCCAGTGAATCTTACCAAAGCCGAGAAGGCCCATGCAACTGGGATGGATCTCTCGCACAATTGAGCTACATTTCCATATCCCTAAATATGTCCAATATTCTGATGGTTATCAATAAATTTGGTTGTTTTAAGGGTTTTAATACTTGTTAGGATTAAGATAAAATAAGGGTTTTAATACTTGTTAGGATTAAGATAAAATAAGGGTTTTAATACTTTTTAGGATTT